TTATGTTAAGTTGGAAAGGACTAGAAAACAACCAGCCTTCTAGTTTGGGAGTTAGGGTAGGAATTAGCATGGTGGTGTGTGTTACAGAAGAATTTTAAATAGTGAATTTAGTGTAGTATTCCACTTGCAATTCTCATCACCACTAAGATATTTGGGTATTTTAAAAGGATATAGGTTTTGTGCATTATTATGTCCTCCATCGGATAATACTGTATTCATATTTTCATTCATTGTCAATAAATGATTACAGGTATATTTTTCCAAACTTGTGTTTGAAGGTAAGCAGCTGCTCCCATTGTCCAGCAGTGTACATAGCAGTGTGGGACAGGTGACATGGCAGTCTTCTGGAGAAGCATCAAACCTGGTTCGAATGAGAAACCAGTCACTTGGACAGTCTGCACCTTCTCTTACTGCTGGCTTGGTAAGTGTTAGTACTCAAGGTGACTTGCTTTTTGAGATACATTCTTGAATCCCTCTTGCCATTGACACATCTATTTTTGTGATTTTGATGACTTAATTTCTCAAAATGAAGTATAGGACAAAAATGAAATTTAATGAATTTTGATAGCTCTTTCATGTTCTGCTTTGTACTGATTATACAGTGAAGCAAGAAAAGGATTCAATATGGTGATAAATTTGGTGAATAATTTCCTTGGGAAAAATTTCCTTTTATATAAGTGATTCTAAATCTTGTGAAGTAGTGTTGCTTTTGTGTACAACTCTAGAGCATACATATTTAGTACATAAGGATAGGGAACATGCTTGGCATACATAAGTAGACGTTTAAATGTATATTGGATGAAAGAATAAGTGCTTTCTCTGTTGGCTTTATTTGGTGACGTAGGGATTACTAGTTGGGCTGTTAACCACAAGGTCAGCAGTTTAAAACCACCAGCTGCTTCTGTAGGAGAAAGATGGGGCTTTCTGCTCCCGTAAAAAGTTACAGTCATGGAAAGCTCACAGGGATAGTTCTATCCTGCCCTGCAGGGTTTCTATGAGTTGGAATCAGCTTGATGCAGTAGAAAGAAAGTTGTGTTGAGTCCTGGTTACAGTCTCAGAAATCCACTGGGGGACGCCTGCCTAGTCCTCTGGGGTCACTGAGTTAGAATTGACTTGATCGCAGTGTTCTAAAATGTATTGTGGTAATGATTGTACAATTCTGGATATGATTGAACTGTTGAATTGTATGATATGTGGATTAGTTGCCAATAAAATGTTAAAAAACCACATATATACACATATATAATCACATATGTACATATACGTATATATAATACACCCACACATATAAAATGAAACAATTTTCCCTGGCCCTGGGCCATCTGCATTAGTCTGTTTGAGTCCGTTCTTGTTGGATAGTCTCTCATTGAGGCTTATCCTTGGTTTTGTGGACATTCCATCAAACTGGTTGTCCTTTTCTGGTGACTGGTCTTCCCTCTTGCTGTTTATACCCTGTTTTGTTAAAGCCAGAGACCTAGAAGTTTTCTTTGACTTTTCATCTGTCTTTTGTAGCCAAATCTCTCTTCTTTTTTTTT